GCTTTTAAATGTCTTGAAGAAGGGTTACTGAAAAGAGCATGCTAGATGAATTCCTTACCACAGACTTGGTGATGCAATCGCTTTAGAATAGGTGGGGTCTGCAGCCATGCTAGCTGACCTGAAGCTTGCGGGAGGTGGTGCGGTAGTCCTGAGTTCCTAACTAGCAGATGCAGTATGCTAAGGTGGGTCAGGCTGAGGGGCCCCAAGGACCAGTGTCCTGGTCCCCTGCCACACAGCGCACTTGCTCCCTTTTCAGGGACCACATAGTCCCTGCCCAATTTAAAGTTCAACTCTACAAGTTCATAAACTTTCAGGTTTGCCTGCTGAGGGACTCAGGCTCCTGGGACTCCAGGTTCCTTGCCCTGTCCCAGAAGGTCCCTGTGGATGTGAGGTGGACAGAGAAGGTCGTACCTTGTTGTAGCCTTGCCCCTCGCATGCCACAGGCTCTGGGGCAGGGGTGGTCCTTTTCTAGGCTTGGGTTTTGGAATATGAGTTTTCTTCTTTCATGATTGCTATGTGGTCTTGGATCCATCCATCCATCCATCCATCCATCCACCCACCCAACTTTGAGGAAGGCTACTTTCCGGGAGGTGTATGAGACCCCTCTAGATGCATGTAAGGGGTATTTTAAATACTTACTCCAGGCATGAGAATTTATACAGGCTTCCCCTTTCCCTTCCTGGCCTTTTAAAATAGAGACACCCTTCACCATTTAGATACTAAAATACAATTGTAAATAAGACAGTAGAGTTTATAATTCCTCATACTATGCCATGATACATCTTCTGGAATTTTATCAGGAATATACGTCAAAGTAATGGTTAGCTCTGATTTTCTGTCTGCCTCTGGAATGGTCTAGGCCTGTTTGCTGCCTGGGAGACGCTTAAACATAACAGGTCTGAGACCAGGGGCAGTGTCTCCTCAGCTTCCTGCTGCTGCACTTATTCTCTGTGCCACTGTGGAATGAACCTCTACCCATCCAGGAAATCCCCCGAAGCCCACACGCTCCCCTCTTCCTCACCTGCTTCTGCAGTGCCAGTTACTAACGGTGAATCACACACATTCCCACGTATTTCCTCCTCCTAAATACTTTACTCATGCCTGTCAATATTCCCAACTCCTCTCCACCTCCTTCTCTCTCTGCTCCCATGGCTGAGGCTGCATCACCAGCTTCCTCACTCTGCCCCCCAGAGCCCATCTACTGGGGAGCAAGGTGACCTACCACTCCATAAAAAGAACACCGTCATTTCTCAGATCTATTTATTTAGAGATCGTGAACCATATTGAAAAAGCCAAGAGAACAGTAGTTATCTGTAATCCCATCGCTCGGGGAGGAGGCAGCTCTATTAACATCTCATTGCAGTTTTCCGGAATTTTCTACAGACTTAATCATATAACCACGAGACAAATAATTAAAAAATAAGATTAGGGAGGCACTGAATGCAATGTTTCCTGATCTGCCTTTCCCCCCTCCTGTTGATTACATCGTAATAATTTCCTGTCATCCAGTATTTCTCAAAAAATGTCTTCTTGTGTCTGTGTTACATTCTGCCATTGGATTCCACCTGGATTTATTAAAACATTCTTTTCCAACTGGACATCAAGATTGCTACGTCTTTTTGTACAGTGGATGAATGGTTTTGTGCTGTAATTAATATTCTTATATATAAATCTTTAACTGTGCCCTAGTGTGTGTGTGTACACACGCGCGTGAGTGTGTGTGTGCATGTGCATGAGTGTGCAGGCATCTCAAGTTGTCCAGGCCTACCTCAAACTTGCTTTATGGTTGAGACGTGCCTTTAACTTCTGATCTTTTAGTCTGTCTCCTAAGTGCTAAGAGTACAGGCATGTGCCATCATTCCCTTACATATACCCTTCATTTTTTCCCTTAAACTAGATTCCTAAAAATGGCAGTGCAGAATGAAAAGATCTGGAAGTTTCTAAGGTCCCTGGTTCATCTTCCCACTTGCTACATAAGAAGTTCATATTGGTTTATTATCACCTCCCACTCCTTACTTCACAATAGGCACACGATTAGGAAGATCTGATTCACTAAGGGTGTAAGGGAAGATGGCATCCTGTGAGCGACTGAGTTAAAAGTCTCATGAGCTGACTGCTGCCAGTCCCCCCAATGCACGCTCAGGAAGTATCCGGGAGCAGTGGTAACTGCTCATATCAGCTGCAGTGGGGAGATGTAGCCCAGCATTGCAAGCAGTGCCTTGAGAAGATCTCTGCCTAGGAACCTCCACTTGGGTAAAATCGAGTCCTTGGTTCACCACAGGAAAAATATTTCATCAGGAGTCAAAGAGACACAGAGGAACAAAGCATACAGCTAAGGTGGGTGCTAACTAAAGAGGGGGAAAGCTGTGCTTGAGTGTCTTTACAGGGACACAAATATCTGTCACATTGCTATACCTGCAATTTATAGCTGGGCATCTTAGCGCACCCCTTTAATCCCAGCACTCAGGAGGCAGAGGCAGGCAGATCACTGTGAGTTTGAGCCCAGCCTGGTCTGCATAGGGAGTTCCAGGCCAGCCAAGGGCTACATGAGACCTTGTCTCAAAATAATAAATAAAGACAAATAATGTAATTTATAAAAGTAAAAGATTAAGCAAAATTTGAAAAAATGTTTATTTTTACGTGTATGAATGTTTGTCAGCTTGTCTGTATGTGCACCACATGTGTGCAGTGTCCATGGAGGTCAGAAGAGGGCACCGGAACCCCTGGACCTGGAGTTACACACAGCTGTGAGCCGCAATGTGGGCGTGGATCCCCTGAACAAACAATAAGTGCTCTTGACTGCTGAGCCATCCTTCTACTCTTATTTCTTATTCCTTTGTAAATGAAATCATAAGGTGTATTAGACATAGGGAGGGGAAGGGAATGCTAACAGTTAAGCTCAAGGCACGGACATTCTGGTCCTAAGTAAGTTGAGTTCTTGATTGTTCTATGGTCTTCTTTCTTTCCTTCTCCCTTCCTTTCTCCCTTCCTTCCTTCCTTCCTTCCTTCCTTCCTTCCTTCCTTCCTTCCTTCCTTTCTTTCTTTCTTTCTTTCTTTCTTTCTTTCTTTCTTTCTTTCTTTCTTTCAAGACAGGGGTTCTCTGTGTAACCACTCTCTCTATCCTGGAACTTGCTTTGTAGATCAGGCTGGCCTCAAACTCTCAAACTCTCAGAGATCCACCTGCCTCTGCCTCCCAAATGCTGGGATTAAAGATGTGTACCACCTCTGTCCGGCTTGGGTTCTCCATCATTTTGAACATCCCGTTTGAGATGTCTTTAGAAGAATGACTACCGCCTCTGCAGCCAGTCTGCGTTTTATCAGCTGTGTTCAAGTTTCTTGACTCTCGGCCAACCGGACATGCAAACTAGATCCCAGGGGTAGCGGCTTCTGTCCCTTGCCCTGCTCCTTAATTTCCTCTCTCTTTTTAGTCTGGCTCACTGAGAGTCCCCAGGGAAGGAGACAGGCCCAATAGGGCAGCAGAAGACTTGTGTGGGGCTGTGGTGGCCTGCAGCCAGCTGGCAGGAAGGCCGGACTGCTGCCTGGAGGATACCATGGTGCAGACGATGCCTGGCACTGGCAGGGTGGTGGGGAGTGGATGACCTCAGTGACTCTGTAGCTTCGTGTGCTCTGAGCTCTCAGAAAGGGAAGCTGTGGGGAGGCTGAGCAGCCAGCAGGGACAGCTAAGGAGAGCTCAGGGATGGGTGAGGAGGGTACAGCAAGCACCCTCAGATGAGGCAGGAGTACCGGAAGCTGCAGCTGCTGTTGGTGGAGTTGGAGAGGAATCCCAGCTTCAGGTTGCTCTGGGTGGTTGGAATCCTGTGACCAGAAAAGTCTGGGCTCTTGTATTTTTGGTCCTAACTTCTGCCTCTCCTGTCATCTCCCAGAGGACTGGGCCTTACCTAACCTCTGAGGACTTCATCTCTGTTCCGATTTGGGAAGGACCCTAAACTGTCATGTTCATGTATGTTCTTCATAAAGGTGTTCAGGGCCTGTAGCTGAGCCAGGCTGGATGTTGGGGCAGAATAGGGTGTCATGTTCCCTGCTCTTGGTATAATATTGGAAGCCAAGGACACAGGAGAGATAATGAGAGAAGCCAAGAGTAGAAGCCTGAAGGGACAGGAAGTCCACCTGCATGGGGAGGGGAGGTGCTGAGAAGAGTTACCTCACAGGAAGAACAAAGGAAGAGCTTGGGGGTGGGTGGTGTGGGGAAGGGTGAGGCTCACATTGGGCTGATGTGTGGGGCTATGAGGCAGGAGCGTGTGGGGAGAAGGCTGGGAGCTAGGCAGTCAGGCAGACAGCAGTGAGGCCCAGCTGAAGAACATTTGCTTCATCTTGAGAGCAGTGAGGAGCCCTTTATGGATGTCAGTCAGGAGATCGATGCCATCTTAGTGGTTCTTAAAATCCTCTCCCCCATGCTGGGTGGTGATGGCGGCGGCGCACGCCTTTAATCTCAGCACTTGGGAGGCAGAGGCAGGCGAATCTCTGTGAGTTCGCAACCAGCCTGGTCTACAGAGCGAGTTCCAGGACAGGCTCCAAAGCTACAGAGAAACCCTGTCTTGAAAAACAAACAAACGAACGAGCAAACAAACAAAAAAATCCTCTCCCCCGATGCTCCACTGAAAGAGAGACTCAAGAGGACAATTCTAATGACTAGTATCTGTCTGTTTATTTGTGACTGGGTCTTACTACGTAGCACAGACTGATATCAAGTTTACTATCCTCCTGCCTCTGCCTCACAAACGCTAGTATTACAAGTAGGAGTCATGGTACCTAGCCAAGGCTGAAGTCTTAAGATCGGCTCAGAGGCTACTGTGGAGGCCCAGGGGCAGATGCTGGGCACTAGGACAGGGCAGGAACAGAAGGTTCTGGGTCAGGATTAGAGGGACTTGGTGCTGTGACTGTGGAGTGGAGGTCCCCATGGTTCTATCCTCTGCCTTGTGGCTGTGTTGGCATACGATAACTCAAGCCCAGACCCCTGCCCACACAGAGCCCATGTTCCTTCACCTACAGGCCCGTCGACTGCCCCAAGCTTTCCTGGCAGCCTCCTTCACCTCCTTGTTCCTCAGGCTGTAGATGATGGGGTTCAGCATGGGGGTTACCACAGCGTAGAGGACTGTGAAGACCTGGTCGGAGATATGGGCCTCCTTGCTCTTGGGTCTCATATACATGAAGATGATGGTGCTATAGAAAAGCAGGACCACAGCCAGGTGTGCCGAGCAGGTGGAGAAGGCTTTGCGGCGCCCGGCGGCTGAGGGCACCCTCAGGATGGTGGCCAGGATCAGCATGTAGGACAGGCAGATGAGGGTCAGGGGTACAGGCAGGAGGAGGATGGCGCCCACCAGCAGGAAGGCATCGCTGACCGATGTGTCACCACAGGCCAGCTTCAGCACAGCCAGGATCTCGCAGGTGAAGTGTCTGATCACGTGGTGGCCACAGAAGGGCAGCCTCATGGCGATGACAGTTTCTGTCACGGACTTGAGGAGGCAGAGTGCCCAGGAGGCACCTGCCAGCACCAGGCAGAGCCTGTTGGTCATGAGCACAGGGTACCTGAGTGGCTGACAGATGGCCAGGTAGCGGTCATAGGCCATGATGGCAAGCAGCAGGCACTCCGTGGAGCCTGTGGAGAGGCTCAGGCACATCTGGATGGCACAGCCAGTAAAGGAGATGGTCTTCCGGGACGACAGGAGGTGGACGAGCATCAGGGGCACGAAAGTAGATGTGTAGCAGATGTCCAAAATGGAAAGATTACCCAGAAAAAAGTACATGGGCGTGTGTAGGCGGGCATCCAGCGTGCTCACCGCCACAATGGCGCTGTTCCCCAGCAGGGTCACCAGGTACATGGATGAACACAGAGGAAAGAGTAGGTGCTCCAGGGCCGGGTAACCAGAAAATCCCTTCAAGATGAACTCGGAGATGGCTGTCCTGTTGCTGGGCTCCATACTGTGGGGTTCTGGCTGCATGCACCGTGGGGCAGAAGCACGGGGTGCAGGTTGGTAGGACCACAGAGATTGTTAAGGTCTTTCCCAGCTTAGACACACTTTCTGGGACGTTGGGACAGTCTCCACATCCTCTGTAGGCTCCAGTGCATCCATGTGAAAAGTGAGGATGATTCAGAGCAGAATCTGTCAGATTCCCTATGCGGGCGTTCAAGGAAGCATGAATGGGCACTCTGAAGAGTCACTGTGAGTCAATGCTGAATGAGGGATAAAGGTCTTTACTGCAGAACTTGTCAGAGCGTTTGAACGGCTAATGAACACTCTCTGGCTTTGCAGCAGCCTCTGAGTCGTCGCTTACACTGTCCCCACCATCTGGAACGTCCTCGTTTGTCCTTCTGCTGTGGTAATCTGATTTGTCTCCCCAGACCAGCTCTGGTCTCCACACTCTATGCTTTACATCTCGGGTGGGGGCTGCCACTGGCCTCTAAGCCTGTGAGCGGGCACCCCTCCACACACAGAGATGCTCTGTCAGCAGCTCTGTGTGGGCTGAAGCTTCAGAAGTTGCCTCTTTGTGAGCTCTCTGGTGAAAAGGCAAGGGACCCTGGAACCCAGTCCCCAGTCTTATTTTCTCCCAGTCAGGACAAAGGATGTTTTGGCTTCCTAAGCTTCAAGGTTATTAGCACAGAAAGTGCCCTGACAAGCTCACTGGGGAGCTCTCTATGGCAGATGGGGAAACTGAGCTCACACAGTGCCTGCCAGGGAGGCGAGTCTCCGGGAGAGTCTGCCAGCATTGTGTCACCTCACATATGGAGCAGACATTTGCCTTCAGCAAGCCCCAAACACCTGCTAGCCTCGTCGGACACCCTCCTGCTTCCTCCCCATAATCCTCTTACCATCAAAAAAGCAGATTTTATCCCTTTCTTGGTGTCTCTGAGCAGCTGGGATGATTCCACCATAACATGGAGCTTAGTGTCCAAATCCACCTCCTCTCTGGCGCGTCACCTGGAGACTCCCTTCCTTTCACTTGCTTCTTATTTATTCTTCCCCAAATCAGAAGTGACTTAGGACCTGCTACACACCAAACACTGTACTAACATCAGGGGGACAAGTGAGGACACAGGCTAAGCACTGACTCCAAACCCTTCCCAGGTAGAGTTCTCCACTCTCCCGTGCCTGGCTTTCCCTCTGCCTGCATGCCCTACATATAAACTTTTGATAAGGGGTGCTTGAAGGGCCTCTCTGGGCCTCTGACATACCTCATGTCAAGGCTAGGTAGCCCCAGTGGCGATTCCTTCTTCATATTAGGTATTAACATAGAGCCAAGACCTTAGTCCTACTCTGAGACCCATCTCTGGGAATCCAAGGCCACTCAGCAGTCAGGAGAGCTCTGATCTCATCCTAGGGCTGCAGGTAGAAGCTCTGCTCTCAACCTGATTGTGTCCACCTCACACAGGCTCAGAGAAATATGAGCTGTGAGCTCCCCACCAAAGCCCAGTAGGGATGCTCTGGGGCTGGGTGTTTGGTGGGGGCATCTTTCTAGCAGAGCGCTTCAGAGGCAAGCACTGGTACAAGGCACAGCGATGCTCCTGTCTTTTCCTGGAAGCTCCAGTGACCAGAGTAAGCTGTGGCTGACTCTGCGCGGTGACATGCACCTCTTCAGTCACTAGGACACATCGGCCCCTGAGGCTATGGGCTTTGTGCTGGAATAGACATACACCCACGTAAGGTCACCTCCTGCGCACACATTCAGGTGGGTGCACAAACACCTGTCGTACACACTGGTACATATGCACCTGTGAGTGCTCATCCTACACATAGACTTATGTGCACGTGTGACCATTCACATATTCATATCAGTGTGTATGCATATGTCTCTCTCTCTTGTGTGCGCACACACACACACAGCAGGACTGGCAGAGTATTGGACCTATGACCAAAGCGCTTTACTGAGCTAGGCAGGAGACCACAGCTCGGCAGGGGTTGCCGGGGAGTCATTAGGAAGGAGCAGCCCTGAGGGTGGGGGTTACAAAGAAGCCTGGGACAAGTGGACAAAACTGACTGTGTGTTCTGTCTGCTTCCCAGCCTGTGTGTCAAAGACAAGTCTCTGGCTCTGACTTTTCTATCACATGGGAAAGAAAGGAGGGGGACACAGGCTAGGGAGTTTTGTCTGTAGAGCCCACAGTGTCCTTTGTCTCCCCCCTCCTGACCCACTGCTCCCTAAAACCCAGTTCACAAGGGAGCCTTCCCTTACCTCTCAACCAGACTGAGTTTTCCTGCTTCGTGTCCCGCGTGTTCTGCTGTGCTGTAGCTCAGGGTGACAACCACGCCTCTCACTTCTTGCCAGCTGCCCTCCCTGCCAGCCCACAGCAATGCCATCTCCTTCCGCTTCTCTCTTAGGTTCTGCAGGCCAACATGTGGCTCTAAGTAACTTATCGCTGTTGTTCGCAGCTCCCTAGGACTAAGGAAAGTGGAACGGGCAGCTGGTCAGTTATGGACGGCTTGCAGCCCAGGGGGACACTCTTGCAGAACTTGGAAGGGGCTTACACATCAGCTGGAGCCTTACACTTGGGGAAACTGAGGCCCAGAGATGGGAAGTAGCACTGTGAATTAGAGTGGGAAGCCAGCCCTGGCGATTCCTCAGGGTCCTCCACCCTCCATCCTGTCTGCGCGTTCTGTTCGTCACCTACCTCCAGCCTCCTCCCAGTCTGTGCTCTGGCTCCCTGGCGGAAGCTTCACTCCCGCCTGCCTTTCCAAACCGTGGAAACGCACCTAGGTTTTTGTGGAAATGATGAAGAGTTTTCCACTTGATAAGGTCAGGTGGAACATATAGAATCTGACAGAATTATTTTAAAGGCTCAGAACTCAGCAGGGTTCTCTGTAGCAGGTAGAACTAGTCCATTCTGGTGGGCCCAAGGCTGATGGATCTTAGTGGTTTTCTGTGGGCAGGACAGGTTCCCCATTCTGGACAGTTGTTAGTGTCATCCCGACCAACAGCCTTCTATGGGGCAGGTGGGCCAGATGGAGGTGGCACCGTTCAAAGCGCCCTGTGTACCAAGGGACTGCACAATCCCCAAGGCAACCTAGAGTGAGGAAAGGAAGCGGACCCAGCTAACACACTTTGGGGTGCTTCAGGGATGATGTCCCAAAGACCCAATTATGCAGTCTAGTTAGAGAGTTTAATTAGCGTGAAAACGCTGGAGAAAGTGGCTCAGGGCTCAGGGCTCCACACTTGCAGGGCAGTCCTGGACTGGTTCAGTGACCCAGGAACACTTAGGAGTAAATCAATCAATGAATGGATGCTTAATTATTGGAATGAATACATAAACAATTTTAATCCATTTGCAAATAAACCAAGGAACAAGTGAACAAGTGATAAATGTTGCTACTTTCCGGATGGAGCGTGAGGGGTCTTGGCTCAATTCTCATCAGGAGTTTACAGAATCACAAAATCTGGAGTGTTAACTGGGGACTGGACTGGATAAAGAGACGAGAACCTGAACAAGCCAGTGCTCAATGACCATCTTGACCAAGACCCCCGTATGGACAGAGATTGCTGTTAGGGGTCTAGAGTCAGCCCGGTGTCATCTGGTGAGGCTGGGGCATAGCCATGGCTCCCGGTGTCACTTAAGTCTCCTCGGTCAGTGTGTGGCCGCCCCGGGAGCTAGTGACCTTTCTCCTCTGTCTCCACCTGGTCCCTCTGCCCTGTTCTCACAGCATCCCAGTGACGCTTCACCACCGAAGTCCTCTCCAGTTCCCAGTCTAGACCCCAATGACTAAAGGTCTCTTTAACCAGCGTCATAAGGTGGGGGTGTAGCTCAAGGCATAGCTTAGTATACGCAGGGTCTGGGGCTTGATTCGCAGCCTCAGGAAATGAAACAAAACAAAATAAAAACAAAAACAAGAACAAAGCAAGAAACCATAGAACCATAGTGTATTTTATTTTGGAACTGGGCTTTGGTTTGTTGTTGGAATTCTATTTAACCACTCTGAAACTTCAGGAGGTAGGCCTGTTGCTCGCTCGGTAAAAGTGCTTGCCTTGCCGTGCATATAGCCCTGGATTCCATCCCCGCTATGATATAGATTGGGCATGGTGGCACACACCCATGATCCTGACACTTTGGTATGTGGAGGCAGGGGGATCAGATCTCTCTCTCTCTCTCTCTCTCTCTCTCTCTCTCTCTCTCTCTCTCTCTCCCTCCCTCCCTCCCTCCCTCCCTCCCCCTCTATATTTTTGTCTCACCATGTTCCCAAGTTATAAATATATTTTTAAAATATTTTCCCAATAACTTAAATTTTTTTTTGTTGCTCTTTTGAGGCAAAGTCTCACTCTGTAGCCCAGGCTAGCCTGAAACTCACGACCTTTTTCGTTCCTCAGGGTTTTCAACTTGTTTTTAACCTTGACTCTTACTTAGAGGGTATCTACTCTGCACTGAGTAAAGTTAGGTGAGCTTACTTACTTCCTACAACAGGACTTATTATAAAGGCTGTCTTATCTTAGACCTTAAAATGCACGTCTGGGAAGTCTGAAGCCAACCTGGGCTGTAGAGCAAGACCAAATCTTTTTTTATTTTTTGGTAAAGATACCTTTGTCATATACTAATTTTGCAGGCCCTTGTGTGTCTCTTTTGGGTGTCTGCTTTAAGGACATGCCTCCCACTGTCCTCACATCTCACTGTTTTAACTGCCATGGTCAGCTTAGGGGAAAGGAACAGCTGTAAACTGCAGCCACAGGCCCAAGCCCTGTCAGCTCTTTCCGACGATTCCTTGGCTATTCTTGCTCATTTCCTTTCCACACAAATTTTGCAATCAGCTCGTCATATTTCACGAAAATTCTCCTGGGACTTTGCCTGTGGTCGGTTGGCTGATTTAGGGCAGGACTTGATATCTTTACAAAATCCAGTTTCCTCAAGCAAGAACGTTGTCCCTCGATTATTAATACATGGCTTGGCTTTGTTCTGATCACGACTCTTCTTCTGACTTGTTAACAAGGTGATTTGCATCGATACATATTTTTGTGATGTTGAAACCTCTTCCCTTTTCCTCCTGTAGTAGTTTATTCTCATCCCGGGTGCAGGATGAGTTTGAAGGGCGGGGAGGCGCGCTGACCAGCTCCCAGGCTCCCCCTGGTGGTCAGTGAGCCAATGCTCATGACCCTTGA